CTCTTTCACCGGCCTCTCTCAGTGACAGACCATGGTTTATTACATGGTCTATGATGGTGGCTCTTATTTCATTAGTGACAACAGCTCTTACTCTCCTTTGACCTCCTCCACACATTCTTACTCCTCTCCCCCTATCTCTCCTTCTCCCTTGTCCTGCTGCAACTATTCCTCTCCTTAGATCACCTTGTCCTCTCCCTCGTCCAACTATTCCTCCTCGTCTAATTCCTCTCCCTTGTCCAGACATTTTCTGCCTCTATGTGTTTTTCTGTATTGTTTTGAACAAACCCAGTCTAGAGAGTGCATGCTTTTTTTATTGTGCTTGCACATGCATGGAAAGATGTGGGATTAATCAGTGTCAAATTGGAACCAGCTGTTTCCCAATTAGAACAATAATTCTTATCAGCTCTTTGAGCTGTTGTGGCAAAAGTAGAGGCTTTACATTATATTTAAAGTTTGGATCATTAGGTCTTCAATTCTGTCATGATGTGTTTAAGCATTTGTTAGAGATATTTGAAAGATCCATTATTTTGCTATGGGGTAAGCTTGTGTGAAAAGAAAATGTAAGCATTTTAGAAACGTGTGCATTGACTAAATTTTGTGTGAAAACGACATTAATTGTATTAATGGTATGGTCACAACAGACAGATGTTGTGATAATTGTGTTTAGAGTTTTGAAAATGTGAATACAGAATGGACAAATGCTTGTTAGCAACAGAAAAAAACTGTAAACCCATCATACCTGACACAGCTCACTGACATAAAATGAAGGTGACAGACAAGAGTTGAGCTCCTTTGTGCAAAAGGCCAGCATTGCTGGTTCACCTTTGTTTCTTCATCTCACCCACATTGACACTCTCCTCCCCCACTTCCTCGCGCTCTTGTCTCAGTCAGACTTATGAAAACAAGTAGACCAAAGGGTCTCATTATTGTCAAGCACAAGGGTCGGCCAGTCGTCTCTCAGCAGTCAATCAAGAACAGATTCCCCAGCAGTGAAGTTTGGGTAGACCACCCCAATGTGTAAAGTGGGCCGGTAGTGGGAGGGGAAGCTGGACTGCTTTACCAGAGACAGAAGAAAGCCTGCCCTGTGTGTGTGTGTGTGTGTGTGTGTGTGTGTTGTGCATCTGGCATTTTATAGCTGTTTTTGTGGCTGACAGGGTCAAGGGGTAATTCTTTGATTACATCTCCTTCCTCACCTCCTGTTCTCCTTCACGCTCTCCGTGTCCCCTTTGATGTCTCCTAAATACACAGTACAGAGAAAAATAGGGAACAGGAAACGGACTGCTCGCAGGATGATATCAATGCTGATGATGAAATAAAATGAACTGTGAAAATAACAAATTGTATCTTATGTAAAGAACTTAACCTTTAATATTTTCTTTTTTTATGTTTTCTGTTCTAGTAACCTGTAAACCCTGCTCAGATGAAGAGGTACTCATGGCTGTGTGTACCAGTGATTTTGGTAAATACATACACACTAACATACACACACACTTTAAAGGAATAGTTTAAGTGTGGGAAATAAAGTTCTTCACCCACTGACAAATATTAAATGAGGAGATTGATACAACTCTGTTATCACCAGTAGCCAGTTAGCTTAGCTCAGCAAAGGGACTGGAAACAGAGGGAAACATCTAGGAAACAAAATCCACGTACATGCTACTCTAAAGCTCACTAATTAACACATACATAAAAAACAAAGTGTAAAAACTGTTGCTGTTTTGTGTGGGGTTATGTGCTGATCTGTTTCTCACCAGGGAGCCTGCAGAGACATAAGAAAGTTACTCTTTTCAGTCCTTTTGCTAAGCTAAGATAGCCTGCAGCTGAATTAAGTTACAACTTACATTCTGTTTGTAAGAGGATTATTGATCATTTCATCTCTCTGCAACAAAGCAAACAAGCATATTTCCTAGGAACCATTTCTTTAAGGCAAGTCAGTGTAACTTTGACTCAACAAC